AGGAGACTTCAAGAGACACACAGTCTTACCCGAAACTTTCAGACACACCTGGAGAAACAATGACCCAACTGGGAGACACCAAGAGGAGGGATTTCTGACGAGAGGTACCCTAAGCCTGAGTGCTGTACACCACTGACGCAGCGACAGCCTGAGCTGAGCAGACTTCTGGAGAGAGGACCTCACCCTGTGGAGTGTTCTAGAGCAGCACTGACCTAAGAGACCTTCAGGCGAGTGATGACCCACCTGACACTCTGTTTCCTTTTCAATTCCCATTAGTTCCTGTTTGCAATACGCAAGGATTATACTCCTCCTGGACATACCATTTTTTCATCCCCTTTACCCTTCCCCCATTTCTTGGGCAATGACAATGCCCCATCCTGAGGACACGTCTCACAAACAATGACCTAACCAACCCAAGGAGAGTTCTGCAGTTCTACTGAACATTTACCCAACTGCTCAAGATGTGAGTTAGGTGTGTGGGCTTCAAAACAGCCCCAAACTGACACCCTGCAAGGCAATGAAGGGCTCGTCCTCCATGGTGCCAGGTACCACGTGTCTGACACACATACAGTTTCCGGTGAGCCTAAGAACAGGGCAGATGACACCACAGGCACATAACAGCAGACGTATTTCTACCTGCCTCTCACTACACAGGAGTGGCTCCCTGTCTTAGGCTGCTCCATGCTTACTGCACCAACCACGCCCCCTGCATCCACCTCCATGCTAGAGAAGACGAGCGTGCTGCATTAAAAGCATATGGTGGTTGGCTTGTCCCACCCATATGCCAGGAGCTATGTCTTTTTTACAAGACCCTAGACTGGCGATGGTTTCTTGTGGTTTGCGAGGAGTCCTCACTTCCCATACTAAACGCTGCTGTTACGTTCTGGTCTGTTGCCTACTGATCAAGCGCTGGATCAAAAGGGCAAAGATAATCAATTCCAGCACATGCCAGGTCATCACCTTAACTACGAAGACGGCTTAGAACAGGGTCACAACATCAGCTTCATTCTAAGCAGGAGGCAGCTGAGGCCGGGAAGGTACCCCCGTACTGGGAAGTGTACCCCCCTGCAACCCTTAACACTAGAGGTCTACTGCCTCCCACGCCTCTCCCGACGTGCAAAGTGAAGTTCTGTACAGGAAGCGCATCATAGGAGCCCTCTTCCCATGCACACCCACGGCAGCTTCTTCCTAACCCTTCTGGGTCCCTCCTGCTCACAGGCCAGGGACGAGGCACTGCAGGCCAGCTCTGCCTCCCCTCGGCTCCCCAGGACTTACAAGACCTCAGCATCCACCTGGCCCTACCTGCCTTGCAGCCTGGTCCTCGGTGGTGGCATCCACCCTTTATCCCTGCACCTACTGGAGGGGAGCACGGCAGGTACATCGCCTGCAGCCTGGGGATGCCAGGGAGGCTGACCTGTGACTCCCAACAGAGGCAGGGGCCCAGGCCTAGGGACAGCAGGCCGGAGCTGCCACATCAAGGGGGCACCAAGGGCTACCACAGAGTGAGCCAGGAGCAGCAGCTGCCCACACCTGCTGTCCCTACCTCAACAAGCCTGGCTCATCCAGTGTAGAAAGGAGAGGCACAGGAAGCCAGGCGGTGCTGTGTCTCTACCTAAATGCAGTGTCACCCACCCAGCCAAGGGGTTCTCGGAGGCTGGGCAGTAGCCCCAGAGTTACCTTTGGGGCACCCAGCAGGAGGCAGAGGGACAGCTCTGGCTGTGACTGCTGTTTCATGGAGAAAAGCACTTTCCTGCCTCGTTGCCACCCTAGGCGGTCAGAGCACTCAGGTCCGGGGCCTTGCAGAATGACTAACCCAGCCCAGGTGGGATGGCAAGGAAACCAAAGGGCTTCTCGGGGTTCCTGAGGGTGGGGAACCTCTGCCCACGTGGTAGAAAGTGCCACTAGTAACAGCTGCCTAAACGTCATTTCACCATGGCAGGCTCACATGTCCAAGCCATTTACAGCTGTGGGGACAGCTCTTAACTTTACGGTGGCCAGTCTTCTTCCCCAGCTGCATCTGCCAGTGTTCTCTGAGACAGCAGTTCTTGGGCTGAGGAGAGCCAGGCTCTTCAAGGCACGCATCCCCTACGCAGAGAGCCACCTCTTCCCCATGCCCCCTTTACCCTTGCACCCGGCCTCCGCCACCCCAGGGCTGGGCTGTCTGGCCTTGACCACTCCCTGGCTCTTGGACCCTGGGCAAGGCACTGCCCTTGCTGGCCTGTCTTCTCATACTATACCCACCCTGGCAGATCTACCCGATCGGCTCTGGCCTGCTCCCACAGGGCTGTTTCCCTCTGCCCCCTCCTTCTCCAGCCACAGACACAAATAAGGAGAACAAAACAGACAGGAAGTAAGACAGCTCTTCCATTTATTGAGCAATTACTGCATGCCACATAGCAAGGGGCACCCAGATGGTCCCTAAGATGTACCCTATCTAGCCACACTGCCATGGCAGCCACTGTACCTCACAGTTGCCAGCACTGACAGGGGCACAGTGCTGGACTTTAGGGACACCATGGTCCTGGCCATGAGAGTTGGGCTGCTCCTGGGCCTCTGGAATCTGGCCAGTTTTGCATTTTATTCATGCATTTGCTCACTCACCACAAGCTCAGCCTCCCCTGGTCAGGCTGGCTATCTAGCCCTTCCTCCCTGGGCCCCAGGTATCTACTCCATGTGAGCCTTATGTGGGCCCACGGAGGACTCTTTCAAGCTTGCAAGTCTCCTTCCTCTGACTCCTGGCTGATCTTCTCTGAAACTTCACACATGCATGCAACCCTCCCACCCTACCCCATAGGCCAGACTGCACTGTGGTGGGTTGAGCTGGGAAACAGGTCACAACACTCGCAAACGTAGTCAAGTTAAGACAAGGTCATACACAGTGTTCTCCTAAGAAGCAGGAGATCGGAACACAGAAACACAGAGACTGGAGTGATCCAACTACAAACCAAAGAACACACAAGGCCACTGTCTAAGAGGAGAGCGTGAAACAGATTCCCCATCAGCATCTCAGGGGGCCTTGACACCTTGAGCACTGTAGTGAATACAGGTCACTAATGGGTTTGCTGATTCCAAAACATCCATGGGTGAACCAGTGACAAAGATCCTGCAGAATACACTGAGCATGAACTGTGCCCTGGCCCTTGTCAAGGGATCAGCAAGGGGTAAGCCGGACTCTGGAGCCAACCAGTGGCTCAACAGACTACTGTGGCCACAAGACTGCCAAGGAAATAGGAGGCAGGGCAGCCCAGTGGGCTGTGAAGTGTGCATGGGACTTGGTCTGGCAGAGTTCTACCTGAAGGTATGCTCTAAGTACAGACAGCTGCTTCCCTTTCCTCCTGAACCAAGCTGGCTTCTAAGGAGCCCTGGGCTTTTCCCAGGGCTGTCAGCATGAGCCTATTAGCACACACAGTGGGGCACTTAGTGTAGGACACATACCTCTCATACCCTTTCCAAACCACAGTGGAAAACCTACAGTAAAAAGTTCCCATGTACACACACACACACACACACCATCAAATCACCAAGGCCCATGAGGAGTTCCTGACTGTACTAGGTCACCTCAGTTTACACCCTCAACACAAGACCCCCAGCTGAGGGTCCGTCACCAGCACAGGCTTGCAGTCAGCAGGTTTCCTCTTCCTCAACTGAGGTTCCAATAAGCCCTCAGTGCACACTTTTGCCTGAAGACTGTGGGAAGCTTCTGTGGGGAGTGGGTGTGAAACACAAACTACTCAGCAAACCTGGCTTCAGAACGAGTGACCTTTCAGCTCCAAATCCAGGGCCCCAGGAGACCCCTGGGAATGCTGCTGTGGGTCTCTGAACCTGGTACCTGACCCCCTACCCAGCCACCTTGCAGTTAGGGAGCAACCTGGAGCTCCATCTAGGCAAGGTGCCAGCTCTTAGAGGTAAACAGAATCACCACGCTTGCAAGCTTGTATTTCTACTCTTCTTGAAACTTTTTCCTACTCTGAGCTGGCAGAGCTTCCTCATTTCTTTAAAACTGTTACTTTTCTAAGACAGCAACAGTGAGAATCGTACTGCACTAAAGACAGTTCCTAGGACAGACTGGCAGGTCCTGCACTAAACACAGTTCCTAGGACAGACTGGCAGGTCCTTATGTAAAGAGTTATGGTCATCAAAGGGAACTCCCTGGAGACCTGACAGGCTCATAGAAATCCAGGAATGCCACCGCTTCAGAGGAGTCAGAGTTGAGAAAAGAAACCAACGTAGATATAGATGTCCAGAAATAGGCAGGGCTTAACATCGCTTTTCCTCTACACTGGTCTTCTAAGACAAAACAGTAGAAATTAGTCTCCATGTAAAAACTTAAAGCTTTTGTTAAGGTGTCCCCAACCCATGAAAACCCCACCTCTAGAGAACCATGGACAAACTAACCAAGTGACAGGAAAGCTGCGAACGACAGGGTCGTTTCGGGTGGGTTGGGCGGGAGGGATGCCGGTCCATTCCGTGCTGCACGTTCGGTACACGGCTGCAGGCCGCTCAACGGCACTCAATTAAGGACGCATCCTTTTGTGCCCGGCTGCTAGCCGACCCTCCGCCACGCGCCCCGAGGCCCCCGGACTCCCCCGACTACTCGTCAAGTTGCGCTCCAGAGTAGGCGGCCAGCCTGGAGCGCTGCCTCCTTCGTCCCCACAGCTGTCAGCGGAGCGCGACGAGCCTCCGGCCAGCCCCGAGGGGAGGCGGGCCCCGGGGAGCTCCGCACGGCTGCGTCTGCTCCCGGCTGCGCGCTCTGCGCACCCCAGGGAGGCGCGCTCGGGGACCGGCCCGCCACCTCGCCGAAGGCACGCGCGCCCGCAACAAAGTTGGCGCAGGCTCTCCGGGGAGCGCTCCCAGGCCCGCGCGGCCCGCCGCTGCGCCGTCGCGGGCAGTGGGGGGGGGGGTCGTCGTGGGGGTTCGCGGCCGCGAGACTGCGCCCGGCTTTGTTCGCGCCGGGCCCCACGCCTGCCCCCTCGCACTGGCCGACCCCGCGCCCGGCCTACCTTCTGAATGGTCTGCTGCGTGACCTCCCCTTTGCCTCTCGGCCGCGCGGACGCGAAGGCCACAGACATGGTGGCGGCGCGGGGCTCAGCCCGTGATCATCGGGGTTTATTCTCCGGTTGCGCCCGACAGCTCCGGGTGCCCATTCTCCGCAGCACGGGGGTGGGGGCGGGGGGCGACGCGCGGTGGGCTCGCCCGCCCCGCCGCCGTTGTCAAGCGCCCGTGCCCGCCGCGCCGCCGCCACGCGCGCCCCCGCCGCCCCGGGCCGAGCCCGCGCGAGGCACCTGGGCGCCCGCCAAGCTCCCCGCACACGCCCGCCCGCCGGCGCTGCGCCGCCCCCCGGGTCCGCCGCTGGTGGTTCCGCCCGCCCCGCCCCGCCCCCGCTGGCCCGGCGCCCCGCCCCGGCGCCCGCACGTCCACCTGACGCCTGACGCCTGACGCCGCGACGCCGGCAGCGTGGCCGCGCGCGGGCGGGGCGTCGGCTCGGCGGCGGTGAGTGAGCGCTTTTGAGCGGCGGTGGCGGCGACGAGAGCTCAGGGCCCGGCCGTGTCGCCGGCATGAGCTACGACCGCGCCATCACCGTCTTCTCGCCCGACGGCCACCTCTTCCAAGTGGAGTACGCGCAGGAAGCCGTCAAGAAGGGCTCGACCGCGGTGAGCCGGCCCGGGCCTGCGCGGACCGAGGCGTGGGGGGAGCGCGCGGGGTCTGTCCAGGGCGCGGGCCGGGTCTTCCCGGCGGAGCGCGCTGCTTTGCGGTGGGGAACGGCGCGCTGCGGGGCCTGGAGCAGGCGCCGGGGAGGGAGCCGGGCCGCCGTCGCGCTCCCACCCTGTGGATCGCGGGCATTGCAAGGCGGCGCTGGCGCCGTGTTCCGGGGCTGTCACGCCGCCGTTCGTGGCCCCTTCCCAGGACAGGCGCCCTGGCACTGGCGGCTTTGCGGGATGCTACTTGCTCGGCCCCGAGATCGCGCGGCCGGCCGCCTCCGACTGGCGGGCCGGAGCCATCTTGTCCCGCTTCATGGCGCCCCAGCGGAGGCTGCAGGTGCGCGCCTGCGGCTCGAGGGCCGGCTAGGGCGCCCGCCGGCAGCAAGAGCGCGGGACCGCACAGGCGAGGCCCAGGTGGGCGTCGAGAACAAAGGGCACCTCGTCGGCTTGCGCTGGTGACAAGCTGCTTCCGGGTGTGGCGGCTCCGCCGGTGCTGGGGTCTGATCCCTGCTCGCTTCTGCCGCCAGGGCTTGTGTTGGGGACCTAGCGGAAGCTGTTGTACAGGTGAAGTCCTGACGTCTTCATGACTCCTGTGACTTGTCAAACCAGAGGACCGCTCCCCTTTCATCACCTGGGCAGAGGAAGCCAGCGTGGGGGGTTTTGAAATTCGAAGTGTTTTCATTTCTGAGTCTTTACGATTTTGAAGTAAAGGAATGCCCCAGGTCTGTCTGATGCCCTAACTCGGCCCAAAGAGCTCTGGAAGAGGCGGCTCCGGATACCCGCCCCAGCATCCAGTGCTTCCTGCAGCCAGCTGCTTGCTGCATCCGGCTGGGTGCTCTGGGCTCGAGGGTCACGTGGGTTATGTGAGTCAGCGGGAGAAAGCTCCCACACTGTGATCTGTTGAGTGCCTGTGCAGAACCTAGCTGTCGTCCAGAACTTTGCAGAGGTACACCTGTGGAGAACTGAGGTGCTAACACCTGCTCCAGTGCCTTTATACTGGGCAGGCAGTTTGGCTGGGTGATGGTGTTTCTGCACATGTCTTGACCAGAGGAGGGTCAGTGATTTTTCCATGTGTGAACAGTGGCAACATGGTCTCCTTCACAGTGCCAGCCATAACCAAGGAGTGATGCATAAGTTACAGCAGGTAGTTGTTCCCCTGTTGCAAACCAGGCCCACTGCTGTGCACACGAATGACAATATAGGGGTGGTGAAGTGGTCCTTAAATAAAGACTTCATGGCCCCAGAATGGGGTGGCAATGAAATACAAGTAAACTACCTGTCAGTATTTTGGAAACATGAGGTTGGGCACCTGCGAAACGATACCTGCACTGGCTCCACAAAGGGCGAATTTATTCCCTGGGTTGCAGGGTGTGGCGGAGTGAAGGGAGAGCATGGGTGAGCATACTTTCACTTTCCAGTGGACTGCTGCCCTGTCTCGCCAGGATCCATGTTAACCTCTGTTCTCGTGGCCTGTGCCTGTGCTGTTATGTCACCCGCATGTGGCTTGTGGATTTTTATTGCAGGTTGGGGTTCGAGGAAGGGACATTGTTGTTCTTGGTGTGGAGAAAAAGTCAGTGGCTAAACTACAAGATGAAAGAACAGTACGGAAGATCTGTGCTTTGGATGACAACGTCTGCATGGCCTTTGCAGGTACAAGTCTGTGGTCAGGGCCCTGCCTTGAGTCTTGGTGAGGAACAGCGCTGTAGAGATCAGTTGGTGGGTGGGTGGTTGTGCCATGTATAAACCAGCAATGGAAAGTGATTTAAAAGCAGTGCATTTGACTTTGAGGAAAGGGTAGCCCCAGTTTCCTTGGGCTGCTCCCCGCCAGTGTGGGAAACACACGGGCTAAGTGAATGCAAACACTTCCAGTGGAAGCTGCTGCTGTGTTTCATCTGCGCCATTATCCCTGTTTCAGTGATTGCCAGCTGGGCACCAGGCCTGCGCCTGTGGTGTAGAGTGGGACAGTGCTTTGCCTTGGGGAGCATGTGTGAAATGCTGGCCTTGGTATCCCCCGGTTTTATCCATGTCTTCCCGTAGCAGATCAAATTTAAGAGCATCTCAAACAAATCGTGTACACAAAATCAGGAGTTGACTGAACTCCAAGGTGCCCCCAGGAGAGCTGGGCACACACCTGTAACCCCAGCTACTTGAGAGGCTGAGGAAAGAGGACTATGTGTTCAAGGCTGGGCTGGAGAAACAGCTCGGTATAGTACTTGCCTGGGATTTGTCACCCTGGGTTACATCCAGTGCCACAGAAAAAGGTTCCAGGAGGACTCAGCATGTTTAATGGGTCTGACAAAGTGTTTCACATACAAGTTTCCGGAGGCCGACTGGGTCACTTCCAGCCACCTCAGCATGTGGGAATCTGCTGTCCCACCTGTGTAATTCCTGTCCTCAGTGGAGTACTGAGGCATGGCTATGACAGACACCTCTGTTCTCTCTGCAGGGCTCACTGCTGACGCGAGGATCGTCATCAACAGGGCCCGGGTGGAGTGCCAGAGCCACCGGCTGACGGTGGAGGACCCGGTCACTGTGGAGTACATCACCCGCTACATTGCCAGTCTGAAGCAGGTGGGCCCTGGTGCTGGGCCCGGCACTGCTCTCCCAGGCGGGTCTCAGTACTTTCCACAGCTTGTGTGTATGAATTTAGTCCCTGGCCTTATCCCCATCTCTTCTTAGGAGTGGGCATGTTGGTCTAATCTGCCTTCTCCCATTAGTGACACTGTTCTGATGTCATTTCCTTGCGTAGCACAGTTGAAACACTCCAGATTCATGTTCTCCATGAAAGGGGATGAAATTTCATCTTGCCATGCTAAAGGACCACTTGCCAGTTAGTTTGGAGAGGACTGAATATCTACACTATGAGGAGATGTTTATCTTTAAAACTAGTGCAGAGCTAGGAAGTGTGCCTGTCAGAATATTTTCCATCGCCTCAGTGTCACAGCACTGCAGTCCTTGTCCTAGCAGAGTCCAAGAATTAAAGTGCACAGAGGAAAGGAGGGTGCTGGAAGCTTATTAGCTAGTTTATCGTTGCATTGTGGGTAATCTGGGAGAGGCGTAAAGATGTTCATTCTTTACTAAGTGCAGTTGTTTTGATGTTACATGGATTTTTTTTAGGCTTGATGTGATTGACCTTTTTCCCCTCCAGCGTTACACACAGAGCAATGGGCGCAGGCCGTTTGGCATCTCTGCCCTTATTGTGGGGTTCGACTTCGATGGCACCCCCCGGCTCTATCAGACCGACCCCTCTGGCACATACCACGCCTGGAAGGTGAGTCTGTGACAGGACCAAGGTACCTTAGCTGCTGGGAGGCTCTAGGGCCAGGCCATATGCAGGGGCTGAGCCACTTGCTTGAGGTCTCCTTTAGGAACAGATGACAGCATAAGTTGTCTTAGTCCTACGTGAACAGCCTGTTTGTTCCATGGCAGTTACTGGTTGGAGAGCAAAAGATTCATTCAGCATTACTGTCTGGCATAAAGTCAGAAGTCTGATTTCACTCTTGGTAAGAATCAGCAGGATGCCCAGCCTGTTACTAAGAAGGGGGTAGGGGACACACAGGCTGCGGCTGGGGCTGTCACCTCACACACTGGAGAGCAGAGTGTGACCTTGGGGGAAGGCCGTGGCCTCCACAGGCTGTATCTGGGCTGTCATGCTGTTGGCCACACAAACACTCGCTTGTCATTCTCAGGCCAACGCCATAGGCAGGGGCGCCAAGTCGGTTCGCGAGTTCCTGGAGAAGAATTACACCGATGAGGCCATTGAGACCGACGATCTGACTATCAAGCTGGTGATCAAGGCACTCCTGGAAGTGAGCTTGGGGAGAACTTGGGCGGGGTGGCAGAGATGTACTGGCTGTGCTCCCTTGCTGCCGGGGATAGCCAGGGTACTTGATGCCTAGCCAGGGACACAGAGCATGAGAAAGAGGTCGGATGTGGACTCAACCTTTCAGGCACTGGCCACTGCAGGGAACTAGGAGGAAACAGGGCTGGTGGCTGGCCTCTCCTTTATTAGCACCTCGAAGATGGAAGTGGGTAAAGCCAAAGGGGTAGCTACAAGGTCAGGAGTGGCCACCGGTGCCTGGCCAGGGAGGGCCAGGACGGGGTGCAGGCATCCTGAGCAGGCCTCACACACAGCAAGTATGTTTGGGCCTCCCCTTGGGCAATGCTGTACACTTCTGTCTTCCCCTTGAAGGTGGTCCAGTCGGGCGGCAAAAACATTGAACTTGCTGTTATGCGGCGAGATCAGCCCCTCAAGGTAACTGCTGGATGTGTGTCACCTCTGTGTGGGAGCCTTGAAAAAGACGCTCCCCCTTGTGCTGAAACCCTAGAGTGACCCTGCCCTCTCCTTCTGAAGGGGTAGTGTCCCTCGTGCCGGTCCACTGCGGCCCCAGCTCCATGCCCATCCAGGGCCCCTTGCTGCTGTCATGTTTCCACTTTGCTTCCCGTGGCTCAGGGTGTGGCTGGGGTGTTCTTGGCATGCCGGGAGATGTCAGCTGCAGCTCTGCTGTGGCACTGGCTGTGAACGAGATCAGGCCAACCTGCCTTATTTCCCACGAGGTCTTTTTCCAAGTGGCTGCTGGAGGAGCTGCTGCTGTGCAAAATTCACTCCGGTGTTTTGCACATTACGTAGCAGGGGGTTCACTATAAACATGTCTTTTTTTTTAAGATCCTAAATCCTGAAGAAATTGAGAAATACGTTGCTGAAATTGAAAAAGAAAAAGAAGAAAATGAAAAGAAAAAGCAAAAGAAAGCATCGTGAAGGAAACTTTCTTGGAGTGGTTTTACTTTAAACTCAATCATGGATGAGTCTCAGTGATGGTTTTCCATCTGTCACACTGAGGGAACAATAAACTTCCGTATTTTTTAACCTTTCCTTGTAAAGAGAACATGTTATCTTTTAGGTGTAACTAAAAAATGCGAATCTCCCTTCATTTTTCAAATGACTGCAGGCATTTGTTAACATGGCCCTTGTTACCAAGCTGTTACATTGGCCAGTTGTGAGTTGGGGTCTCCGCAGAGCACCTGGCACCTCACACATGGGGTCTTAGGGAGCATGGAAGAGGGAGGACAGCGCAGACAGCGCTGTGGAGGCCTCGGGCTTGTAGTTCTGGTTTTAACTGCTCTTATGATAGCGCTCCTGTTAGCTGCTTTCGGGCCGGTGTCTTCAATTCTCTTTCTCTGCCTCTTGCTTGCACTCCACAGTTGTGTTGTCAGGTCTTGGCCTTTGTGCTCTTAAGCCTTACACCTACCTTGCCACTTGGCTCAGATCCCTATGCCCTGGTTCTTGTCATACAAGCAGGCAACATCTTTGAAAAGCAGAGACCCATGTAGTTTGAGCTCAGCATACACCAACTGTCAACATGACTGTAAGCTTGAAATTTTAACACCAAGGCTTGTCACAAGTGGTAAACTGGATTCTAGCAGAGGAATAAATACCTATTCCACTGTCAGGTCCCTGTGTTTAGAATCAGTGCTGTGGCCACCTGCCTAGGATGCTCATGCGGAGGAAGGTTTTCCCTTGGTTGTGGGCACTGCCGGTACCCTCCCCCATGGGAGGCTGCTTGCTCACAGCCCAGTACTGAAGGGAAGCCCATCGAGCTGACTGGCGCCTTCTGTGCTGAGGAGAGGGGGCTGCCTGTAGCCTGCTTGTGGCCAGATTCCAGGCAGCAGAGCCACTCCCCAGAAGACTGCCCACAGTGAGTCCAGAGCTGTCTCCTCCTCCACCCACAGCTACTGGGTCTCTCCTGTGGACACCGTGAACCAGTCCCTCAAATCCTACCAGCCCAAGTGTGTGTCAGGTCTTAGCAGCACCTGCTCCTGACTGGACCCTGAACATGACAGAGGTGATCTGGGCAGCAGAGACAACAGTTGAAAGGTTTGCATATTTATTTATAGTTATAATTTACACTTCTCCAACAGAGCAACCCCAATGCTAATGTTCTAGTTCTCAGCCCAGAAGGCCTACAAAAATAAACCCAAGCTTTTACAGTAACTTAATCAGTACAGAACCAAAGCGCTTTTAGCTATTAAAGGAATTTAGTTACCAAGGTGCTTATTTTAAACAAAATGCCCTGTCAGAGGATGCATGCTTGTACTTCAAAGTCTGACCCATTTACATGCAACGAATTTATATTCCCCACCCTCCCTCCACTCACTTTAAAACAAAAACACAAGAACTATTTACAATCAAGAGGAAATAAGGTCAACTGACCATGCTGCCACCCCAGCCCCCCTGCAACCCCAGGCTAGCTCATTTCCAAGTGGATGAGAACACTGAAGCACTCGGGCAGAGTCCAGCTGAGTGACTTGGGCCAGAGGCTTGGCAGGGACAGGAGAGCAGGGGGCACAGCATGGGCTCACCCACAGCTTCGGTGCCTACAGGAGCCAGGCTCCACATAACACTTAGTAGCTACTGCTCAGGGGTCCCTTCCCCAGTGCACCCACCCTCTGCCAGCCCTCACCCTTATGTCCCTTACACAACATGATCCATGGGAACACCCTCCTTCCCTGCCCTCTGCCCACCCACCCCACACACCCAGCTCATCCTGTGCTGCCCTTGCCTGGCTCCTGAGATCCCACCCTTGGTAATGAGGGTGCCAGGCCAGCAGCACCAGGGACCAGATGGGTTAGAGATGCACTTGGCTGCCACATGTGCCAATGAGATTTGGTTCTGTTTTAAAAGTCAAAGCTGTCATAGAAAAGAAACAGTCACAAAGTGAGGATCAAGCCTTTGCTATAAACATTTTTGCAAAATACCAAAACCTTACAGTTAGGCTATGCACAACCAAAAAGGAACATAGGTCAACATACCTCAAAGAGGTTACCCATGAATACTTTCCCCAAAACAAGTGGTTCTAACTCAGACCGTGTCCAAGTTCAATTAAGTCCAAACATAAGTAGCAATGTGGGAGTCTGCCCAACGCAGTAAACAATGCCACCCACTTCCCGTGCGTGCAGCGTTTCCTGTGTCCTCCTCTACGTAGCACCACCTGGACCACTTCAGTGGGAACCTGGAAAACAGGACAGGAAGTGAGCGGTCCATATGTTTTGTAATCAGCAGCCTAGTATCACCAGCCCTTGCTGTCTGATGAAGACCAGACCCCTCAACTGCCCCACCTCTCTCCCCAGTCAAAGCTGGGCTTCCTGTTATCAGCCACACTGAGGACGGGTCAGGAACAGGCTCTGCACAGGGTCCTCCTGCCCAGGCCCAGGAGTGCACAAATCACCTGCCCTTGCCCACACTGGCACTGGCAGTGCAGAGCCATGCTGGGCAAACTCACTCGTCAACTACTCAACAGCAAGCACTACTCAGCCCTTGCCTTCCCACTCCCAGAACCTCTCTCGGCTGAGGCAGTGGCCAGGGTCCCCCTTAAGAGGCCTTGATGGAGCTGGCCTGGCTTTGCCTGGCTCTCGCCACTCCTAAGGGCACACAAAGTAGATTCTGAGTGTGACGGCTTCCCTTCTCGGGGATGCCAGACACGCAGCCTGCTCCCTGGCCCCAGCTCTGCCTGGGTTCACGTGTCCCGGGGCCTCCCTCCCAAGGACCAGAAGGGCCCACACTCACTCAGAGGCTGCACCTTTACACCCTGCCAGTCCCCGCTCTGTGCGAAGTCGGGTTACGCCGAGCGGCTCCGTTGCCCCTGCCCCCTCGGAATCCACCTCGGGCAGTGCGGCCTCGAAGGAACCTCCCTGATACCCCAAAGGTCTCCGTATTCAGCTTCCTCTCTTCAGCCCATGTTGTCCGCCTAGAACTGAAAGATGAGGTAGGTTCTAAGTGCAGTGGGCACCAGCTGAAGTTTCTAAGCCAGGTCTCGCCCTCAGAAAGGCCAGGAATAGGAAGGATGGGCTGCTCCTGTGGCCATCACCGAGGCAGGGGCGCCAGGAAGGCCTGGAGCTGGAAACTGTTAACACTGCTGCCTTTCCAGACACATTTCAGATCAGGGCTGTTTCTCCTTGTGCACTGGGCTGCTTAAGACGCACCTATAGAGCTGGGGTAGGGGCCTAGGATTTAGCTCAGTTACATAAGCACCTGGTGGCGAGCGTGAGGTGGAAAGTTCAATCCCTGGTACCAAAAAAGATAAAATAAAGCTGCAGGTAGTGGGACACAACTGTAATCCTAGCACGCAGAGGCTGAAGCAGGAAGACTGCCATGAGTTTGAGGCCCACCTGAACTACATGCCCAAGACCTTGTCTCAGACAAAACAAAACACAACAAAACAAGCGCCCTTATCCCTGGGAAGCGAAAGTATGAGAAAGTAACACCAAAAGATGACAAAAAATGCGCTGCACACGGGAGGAGTGCTAGGCAGCCTGGGCCTGGTGCAGACCTGAGCCCAGAGCAGAAGGAACACGGACCCCAGGGTGCCCTCAGGCAGCCATCCAGTGCTTGCCTTTCAGCCTGATACCCGCTGTACCCAGAGGCCTGGAGAGGAAAGAATGACTTTGTACTTTAACAGTCCAAACCAAGCTACCTGGAGTCACTCTGGAGTCCCACAACCTGTCAACCCCCTGCCAACGCCTCTTCAGAACACTCAAACCCAGCCCTTCCTGCAACCATACCAATGCCCCCTCTAAAATAACCTGTGCTGACCAGCCGCCACACCTGCAGCCCCTCTCCCGAGGTGAAACAGCCCCTCTCCCGAGGTGAAACAGCCCCAGTGAGTTATTTCTCATGGCTGCCCACAGGGTCAGAACAAACCCAACATCAATACTGCACCCCGAAACGCTCCACAAACCCCTCCCATCCCGGCCTTTCCCGCCTGCCCCAACACACAGGCTTTGGTGGTGCCGAGGCAGCCCTGCACCCACCTGCACAGCTCACTACACCCCCTCCCATCCTCTGCAGCTGGGCCTCCCCTACTCATGCTCTGCACACACTTCTATGACTGCTTCACTGTGTGCAGCCCCAAGCTCGCTCCCACACCATGCCCTCCTGCTGGCTTCCACACAGTCCAGGTTCTGAACATGACACACTTGCTGGCTGCCAGGATTCCAGGGAAGGAACATACTGGGCAGAACGCTCTACCAGCTCCTTTGGGTAGCAAGGTCCTCAGCCTGTCCAGGGCAGAGGGCCTCCCGGATGGCAAGCCAAGGAGAAAGAACACTGAATGTGGGTATGGAGTCTGGCAGGGCCTGCAGGGGCGTGACTTCAACGAGTCTCCCTTGTCCGGACCACATCCAAGCAGACCTAGGTAGGTGCAATCAGGACTCTTATCTACTGTGCAGAATGCAAAATCTGACGGACCTGGTGGCACACACCTAGAATCTCAGCACTCAGGAGACCAAACTCAGGTGAGTTTGAGGCCAGCCTGGGCTACATAATTGAGTTCAGGCCAATCTGGACTACAGAGCAAGACCCTATCTCAAAAGAAAAAAAGCACAAAGCCCTGAGTTTGGTACCAGAAAAAGGTAAGATTCTAAACCACAAATCTTGAACTTAAAGGCTCAAGTCTCAGTCTCATCCTTCCCAAGTCCGTGAGGACTCTCACCTGGTCTTGAGTTCAGAAGAGATGTTGTCAAAGAATGACTTGGATTTGTCATAATAGCAGTTGGGGCCCAGGAGGTCTTCCTCAGCAGGAGCTTCATCACTCTGAGTGACCACAGCCTGGTCCTTCTCTTCCCCTTTCTCAACCTTGTCCTCTACAGAGAGAAACAAATACCGCACACTGCACCCCACACTGTGCCCTCCCCAGCCCAGACAATGCCTGAGTGTCTCATGCTATGCAGCAACCTCTTCTCACTAATGGTCACGACTGTCCCACACCAAGGACCAGCCAACCCCCAGTGCCTCACCTACCTCTCCACTGACTTCCATGCTCCAGACTGGAGAGCACCCTGTGGGCTTCCCTTCCACCCTAGTCATCTTAGCATACTCTAGGAAAACCCCTGGGATATGCACTGCCACAGGAAACAGACCTTTAAAATTCAGTTTCTTCTTGAATTCTTTGTCAAGCTCCTCTCGGTTGAACTGGGCATTTGCACTCTCAAAATCAAAGTCTCCTTCAAACTTGATTGTGTTTTCCTTGACGTTAGTAGGACGGTTCTGCCCTCTGGAACGATTCCTTGTTCGCCGGTTCCCTATGAGGAGAGGCAGCAGCCACCACTAATGTCAGCCATCAAACCTGTGTTCCAAGCCTGACTTCAAAAGCAGCTTACAGGCACCCCACAGGCAACATGGGGGCACAGCTCACAGATGTAGCACCTTAGTCCCGGCACCCTTACAAGCCAAGCACAGCCTGCTGCTCACAGCGCCCAGGACTCAAGTGGCAACAGGTGTTACCTGACCGCCTCCTCTGAGGTCTTCTGTTCTCGTCATTCACCTGCCCTTGAGTGTGCGCAGCTGCTGGCTGGACTACATCTAAGGCGCAAAGGGAAGAGTGAGGCAAAGCTGCTGCAGAAGCCTGAACCCAGCCACCGAAGCAGGCACCGGCACCTCCACCTCCTCCACCTCCTCCACCACCTCCACCACCTGCACCACCACCCGGGGCCTTGGGGGAGGGAGGCTGCCACACCGACCTGCCCTGCAAAGCACACGGGCTGGAGTAATGTTTGAAAAATAACCGAGTAAGTTGCGTGCCATTTTTAGAACAGAAAGCAAACTGCAAGGGAGTAAGTGTTCAAGTACCACCAGCGGTCTTGCTGCTTGGCTGGGCCTGGCGACCGTTGAGCTGTGTCCCTGAGGTGCCCTTGCCAGGTAACAGCTTTTTGGCATTCAGGTTATCAACAGAACCAGTCTGGACAGCCTGTTCCACCATGGGGCTCTTGCCAACTGGGGCAGATGGAAAACCAGCTCCTGAATTGAGGAGGGGAGGAAGGGTTAGAAATACAGAGCAGAGTGCCTTACACCTGCCACTTCTCTTCTGGCTGGCACATCAGGTAGGAGAGTGCAACTGTCTAGAGAGGGTCTAAATCCCGGCCAAGAACCCCAGCTGGGCCATTCCCTCTGCAGTTAGCCTGTGAACAAAGGTCAAGTCACAGGGCAGGACAAAGGCCACTCACTGCTGGGCTACTTGGGCCCAGAAATGAGTCAGGGAATCCGTGCCTACAAACAGGCATCGCCCCAGACTCCGACCTGCTCTCACTCCAAAGGCGCTCTACAACAAGACGACGAGTTCAGGGCCTGAGTATTTCATTCTGGTCCACGCTGAAGATCTGTAACGTGCACTGGTCACTTCAAATCCTAAAACAGTCACTTTTGCTTACAGCATTAACAGGGTGAGGCAGTAACAGGTGACTACAGTGAAGAAAACAGCCCCAGCCTCTTAAGAGCAAAGCACCTCTGTGGAGCACAAAGGTGCTCTCAGGTGGCCTCGAATGGGGCTGTGCACACGGTACTAAGACACACCCACCAAACCAAGCCAGGGCAGCCCAGGCGGAGGCAGTCCTGAGCCTTGCTCACACCTCTCCCAGGGCCAGGGTCTGTGTGTGTGTGTGTGTGTGAAAGCAGGTGCTTGGGCGCTGGTGGAGGCTGAGACAGAAACAGGAGCCCTAATCTCGGGGTAACTATCCCCAAAGAAGCAGCTCAACGCAGATGAAGAGTGGACGCAACCTGCTTTTGTACCCTGCACAGAAACTAGAGATCACTGTGGAAAACTTCCTGTCATCAGAAGCATTCACAGTGCAGGTATGTGGCAGGGGCTTTCCTAACAGATAACACAGAGCACACTGCTGGGCCCATCATCTCACTTAGCACGACCACCCACGAGAGACGAACAGCTTTATCTGCTTTTGATAAAACTATACCAGTTCAAACAATCTTGCCCTATGGGCAGTTTTACATAAATGGTCCTAAGAACAATGAAGGTACTGAGTGTCAGGTTTAAATGGAAACAAGCATGATCACTCCAAGGCAGATGGACTGGAGTCTACTCAGGACTTAGAAAGCAACACCTGCAAACACACTGAGCGTGCCCGGCAGCCCGCGGGACACGGGTAATGAAGGCTGCTGCCTGCAACAAGCAAGGTGCCACAGGTAAGATGCACAGGAAAAGCATCAGCGTTAACCTCAGGGCAAAGGACAACGTCAGACGCCTGGTGCCACCATCTCAACAGACAGGTGAATGACACTGGCACTGACAACCAGTCCGCAGGACTAGTTCACCTGGCCAACAGATGGGGATCATTGCCCTGTCTCCCAGTTTTGAACCAGTTGCCCATGTGTTGTGCGACTGCTCAGTGAAGTCCCACTATGCCAAGCTAAAAACCTAGCAAGCCCTCAGGGAATTGGCTCTGTGTCAAAAGTGACACACACTGGTGGTGGCTGCTGACGGTCCAAACAGACCCTGGGATCAGGCGGAGTGAACAAACAACTCTGAGCACTCTGCTGATTCTTTTCAGTCCTTTTTTTTTTTCTTCATACTGGGAATCAAACTCAGGACCTCAAACTTACCAAGCAGGCACTGTGCCACCGAGTCACATCCAGCCCTCCAGCCCCTTCTTTAAAACTTTAGAACTGTGTGCTAAGCCAGCAGAAGCACATCAGCAGTCCCTGGGCCTGGCCAATAGTCTGCTACGGTTCCTGTCCTGGCTGTTCACCCCTTCTCTCAGACTGGTCTGCAAGACCGCATGCAGTTATCCTCCCAACTGCTGTTACCCTTGGAAGTAAGCTGAGGTGGCTCTGAGGACATGTCAAGCTCTGACACGGGCTGTGGAGATGGAGAAGAGCTAGGACTGGAAGCAGCGGCTGAGGCTGGAGGGCTTACCAACTTCTCTAAAGGAGGAGAAAGGAGAAAAGAGCAGAGAAAGCACACAAGTGAGTCAGGACATACTGGACTCCTGTCTGGAGAGCTTGGGAAGAGCCAAGCATCAACACAGTTTAGAAACACTGAGTCACGCTAAGAACCCACCCAGCACACCAGGACAGCAACCATGGCAAACATGGGACCCACGCTACTGTTCAGAGCCCAACTCTCGCCCTGCCCCAGCTCTCTTAGGCTGGAGTCCAGGCCAGGCCAAGCTAGGCTAGGCCAGGCGAGGTGGCCCCACTGGCCAACCCCCGCATTCTGCAAACAGCTGCAGAGCTACATCAAGGCCAAGGCTATGCTCACTCTCAATACCGACTCCTACTCTGGGGCTTGTCAACCTCGGTTGACAACATTTTTGATTAAGGTACTTGCCAGCAGAATAATCAGTAAGTTAGAATGGTACGCTGACCAGCTCACAGATGTGCAGACAGCTAAAACTCGAAGGTGAGTTTCAGTACACATGCCAGTGTTTCTTCTCTGAGGCAAGTATACCAGGCTGACATTGCAAATGGATTTTGATTTGGATCATTTAGTGCCAAAACTCAGGCTGCTGCTTCTTACTCTCAACAGTTACTAAACACACTAACCACTGGAAAGTAGCTCTATCAAACATGCCATACAACATAGCGTAGGAGCTATGTCCCTTCCCTTGCGGTTTATTACTGCACTTCTTGAAAGTGTAGCTGTGTAGACAGAAACAGGTTACTCACCTAGACCTAAGGAAGCAGCGTACTGCTGGCTGAGCAGGGAGCTGGCCGCCAGCTGGCCGTAGGGCGGCATCCCTCTGAAGGGGCTATAAGGCACATGTGGCTGGAAGGGCGAGGCAGAGGCAGAGCCCAAGGAAGACTAGACAATGAGACACATGGGTGAGAACAGTGCAGGGCCATCCCATCACCTTCCAAGTCCACACACAGAAAGAACATCTGCTCAGATGGAAGCTGGTCCTCACTCTGTCAGCCTTTACTGCTGATGTACTGAGCAGTCCTAGGGAAATTTCCAGTATGGTCAAACTGTCTTTTCTCCAACATTTTAACCCCAGCTGCACCGATTCATGTAACTCTAATACGAATTCTTCCTAACATGAAACTAATAGCTCCCCTCTGCCACCAACATCGTCAGCTTCTACCATAGAAAATGTCACCCTCAGCTGGAGACAGACCTGCCTTCAGACGTACAGCTGTGTGGCCAACGAACAACACACACACCCCATTATTCATCTTCTCTCTTTGAATTTTGTAGGCTCCTCTGAGGTTCAGATTGTACCAAATTCTGAGATAGGGCTACACAAGCCTCCAAAAGCACCGCAGCTGTCTGGGAACCGACTTTTCCTCATGTTCTTCCCCGGCTACTTCCTCTGTGCCCCTCAGCTTTCTTCCTTTGAAGTCCCCTAAGGACCTGGATCCAAGCTTTCTCAAGTTTGGCTTACACTCCTCCAAGTACTCCTAAAGCCCAGCCTGTCTGCTCCTACCTTCCTTCTGTAGCCCTATCTCAGAATTTGGTACAATCTGAACCTCAGAGAAGCCTACAAAATTTAAATTCATAAGTTAAGAACATACTAATATGGACCTACTGGTAATCCAGTGATACAATCCTGCAAACAATATATGGCTTATTAAGACTTGCAAATTTAGTGTCCTAGCACACTAGAATTTAACAAGCATACTATATGAAGACAGCAAGCCCCTCTGTCTCTCCAAGCACTTCAGGCTTCTCTCAGGGTTGGACCTGTCCAAATATTATACTCTAGACACACTAAATCCAGGCAAGATTAGAAGCAGCCCTCCTTCACCCACACCCATGCACCCACCCAAGGGCTATGCCCTGCCACACACACTCCCTCCTCCTATATGGTGCATGAGTTATCGCCCAAAGAACATCACTGGACTAGATGAAAACTTTACCACTGTTCACTAAAGGATTATCCCTTGTAAACAAATGATACCAAGTTCCACATAGAAACCAACCTTTCTTAGAAACAATGCCCACAAGGGGCATAGTGGCACTTGACTGTAATCCCGGCATTTGGGATGCTGAGGCACCAGCATCTCCAAGAGGTAAAGGCCAGCGTGGGCTACATACTGAAATGCTGTCTCAACAAAACAAAACGAAAACAAAAAAAAAATGCCCACAGAGAAAAAATCAATACATTTACCTGAACAATAGCAGGATCCTGAGGAAGTGTGTGCTGAGCTTTTGGAGGTTCACATACAGTAATATCTTTGATATCGCTTCCCCGAAAGATGATGTACTCATAGATCTCCTCTCTGGGGGGAGCAGGCCTATCTGTGGGGCGGTCTTCAGTACCAAAGGACCTCACTTAGGGGTTGAGAAAAAGAATGGTTAAGTTGTTGCCACCCATTGCATGTCTATGCCATTCATCCTCTGATGCTAGTGCTGCTGGGTTCCTGAGCACAGTCCCAACTCTTCGCCCAAGTCTACAATTCAAAAGGCATTCACTCCCCGACACCTTTTCAGGGGACAAAAATCCACAAGGGATCAGTGGCTGACACTCTAAAAAGATTTTTGGTCATAAAGATGATGGAAAATTTCAGACTGCAAGCCTCATGAAGCCCCACATCCTCCAGTGCCAAACACCGACAAAACAAAGCTTACTTTGCAGAATCTCCCAGTTCACGTGTGACTTTGCAGATGAAAGAATCAGTGGTTTTATGCCTGAAGCCGCACCACATCCTGCGGCTAAGGAGGCAGCTTTCTTAGGCAAGAAACCAGCAAGTTGTGTTACTCTCACCCTTCTTCACACAACCAGTTTGCAGAGTTACGCAAATAACCAAGGGAAAAGGGGGTCTCAGAACTTGGCCCCCCAAAACCAGCTTGCGGATGATAAGGAAATCCTGAGTCTCAGGGACCTCTTTAGGCTATGCGTCTCCAACCTGCAAAGGCCTAGAGAGCCCTACCGAAACAGGGTTCCAAGGCCACGCTGGACTTGGCTCCAACTAACAGCAACACAACTTCTACTGAAGACCCAGGCCTAGTCTGGATCTCACCCCATCGACGGAGTCGCATGTCAAAAGTAGTATCCTGCAGTACCCAGAGTTCAAGTGATCGCAAAATCCTGGAACGCTGAGCTAGCTCCTACAGTACTAGTCTGTCTGTTTAGTTTGCACAGGAAGCTTCAAAAGGAGCTATTTCGAGGGCTTGGCAGGACTGAACCGTGGAGCCAGCTCAGATCTAGGGGTGCTTCAGGCAAGGACCCGTGAGGCCCTAGGGCACAACCAGGGGTGCTGCAAAGCTGGCTGCTGCCTTCGCACAAGACGGGAACACGCTCCCCGCATCTTCTTGAGAATGAAGACAAAGGGGGTCTGGGGCCCTGCGCTGCCTGCACAAGATCACTGCTTCTGGACTTCTCCAGTCACAAACGGATCCCCTGATGCCCGCCAGCGCTCACTGATGACTGTCACAAAAGAGCAGGGCATTAGGGCCGTCGACACCAGATAGTCAGACCCAGGATACCCGTCTGTCTTCCAATCGACAGTGCAGCTTGGAAAGAGGCTCCGCCCGAAACGGTGGGCCCCAGCTGCCTAATGGGTTCCAGGAGTACGCACAGGATTTCCATTTTTTTGCCCCGCCCCCACTCTGCCTTCTGGGGAGGCCAGGGGACTCCCACTCTGGCCCCCGCAAGGACACCGCCCGCAGGTGGAGGAACCGCGGCTCTCTAGAGCTGCCCCGCCCCCAGCACCTACAGGGTGGGCAGCTCCGAGGAGATCGGCGCGGCGGGGTTCAGACCGCCCTCCTGCGCGTCCCAGGCGGGCTCCCGCGCGTTTCCCCGCCGCCGCAGCCCAGCCGACCATCTGCGGCGTCGCCGGGCTGGGGGGGACGCCCCGGGGTGGGGGCGGGGGTCTCGGTGCCTAGCTCGCGAGTCGGTCTAGCGGTAGCACTGGTTAGGGGCGAGGTTTTGGGAGGCGGAGTTTTCCAGGGTGGGGGCAGGGGTCCCGGTGCCAGGCCTGGGGGCGTCCGGGGGTGGGGGCCAGGCCCGGGGCCTCGGGTGGGGGCGGGGGCGGAACGGGACTGTGGTCGGCGGTTGGGCGCGCGGCGGCGGCAGCAGGTCGCTACCTTTGGCGAGCGCCACGGTGGAGTTGTCGGTGTCGATGGTGTAGAGGATGCCCTCGTAGCGGATCTGCGCCTTGGAAATGAGGCTGATCTTGCTGCCCAGATACGGGGTACCCGAAGAGCCGCTCATGGCGGCGGCCGGGGCGCGCCGGGTCGGAGGACGAGCGCCGGGCCCCGCCCGCTCCGCCACCGCGCGGCCGCCGGGCCACCCGCTCCTGCGCCGCTCTGCGCCGCCGGGGCGCCTCCCGACGCGCCCGAGGGGCCTTCGGGCTACGAGCGAGGGAGTGCAGCGGGGGCGCGCGGCCGGCCGGGCTGAGAGAATCGGGGAGGAGCAGCGCCGCAGCCACATCCGGGACCTAAAGCCGCCACGCGCCGCCCCCGCACGCTCGCTGCCCATTGGCTCGGTGCACCCGCCTCCCTTTAAATATGGCCGTGCTGCCGCCGGAGGGAGGGGGCGGGCCCGCACGCCGCGCCTGCGCATAGGGTATTTCCAGGCCCCCTCCGTAGCCCACTCCCGGCGCACCTCGCGAGCGGCTGGATGCCTAACACCTAACCGACTGGGCGGAGCGCGCGTGCGCAGGGGGGGCGGGCCCCGTTTAGAAACTCGTGGGCGTGGGCGGGGCCGGGGCGGGCTCTGGAGGAGCGCCAAGCCTCTCCCTGCGCGCGTGCCAGTCTTGCCTTCTCGAGCTCCCGAGCGCTGGCGCCCGCGGTTTCCCCTCCTGCGGAGGCGGGGCTTGGACGCTCCGGCAAGGGGCGGGTGTGCGGGACGGCGCCGAAGATCAGGCAGCTCTTCTGCAGAGTCGACCCGTAAATAGAGCGAGCCGAGCGGCCTGCTGGGGTCCTGCCCCCTCCCTATCCGCAGTGAGTTCCGCGTGCTTAAAATAAACCCTGGCTTGCTCTCCAAGGCCCGTGGCCCCGGGGCCCTTGCTGCTCCCTCCGTCGTGGAGGAAAGCGCCCCACATCTGTTCTTCGGTTGTGCACAGCAAGATGAGTAATTACGCACATGTGTTTTGTCTCTTTACCGTGATCATTGTCAGATCAAGGTCTCACGTCGGGTCCTAGGAAATACTCAACACGTAGTGACCAGCATTTTATAAAAGTGACATGGAGCCAGGGATATTCCCTGCCTGGAAAGTACAAGGTCCTGAGTTTGAATCCCAGTACAAAAATGTGGAATAGAATGAGACAAAGTAATTGCGCATCCCGCATAATGAAAATAGATGCAGTTTTGCGAAGCGTTTCACTTAAGTGTGGACTTGGTCAGGACATAAAACGTATGTCTTTTTTTTTTTTTTTTAATCGGTACCGGGGATTGAACTCATGACTGCCTGCTTCCAAGGCAGGTGCTTAATGCTGCTGAGCTAAATCCCCAGCCCCTAAAATGTATGTCTTAATGTGCTAATAATTTAGCACGATGCCAGATAAGCGCTGTGACTGGTTCACTAAGCAGGAAACAGGCCCAGCAGGCAGGTTAAGCGGTAGGTGGCCGTAGAGCTCCCCAGTGGGACCATGCACCACCCTCTCTGCTGCCTCCTGCCCTCTGTGAGATCCACCCACTCTCACCCAGCCCAGCAACATCTGGCTCCGGAGCCATAAAAGGACCCACTGAAAAAGCAGAAGAAAAGGCCAGAAAGTCTTACAGTTTAATCTGCAGTGATTACCAAAACTGCTTCCTGGCTTCTGTGCTCAGGAGAATGGTGATACCTTCCCACAGACCTGTGCCTTGCTTGGAGCAGAGAGGTCTGGGGCATCCCTGCTGTCAGCTTCTACGTTAGGGCAGCACAACCTTGGTAGACCCACTCGAGTGTACAATCATGCCCCTGGCAAGCACCTCGGTGGCCTCCCGGTGACCTGCTGTGGGCGAGGTGGTTCTTTCCTCCCACTTTTCAACTTAAGATTCCAGCTGCAGGGTTTTGTTTGTTTGTTTTTACCTCATTTTCCAGGTTTCTGAGGCAGGGGTTTGTGTGTTGAGGGTGCAGATGGCTTCTTCACAGACAGGAGCTGATTCTGTGTTGCAGGATAGAACTGCACCCTGAATCCCAGGTCCCAAGACAGGAAGTACAGCAAGCAGAAACCTCCGAACACCTGCCAGGCGCCTGGGCATGCAGCGGGGTGGTTCCCTGAGGGTAACAGCCAAGGTGCAAATGGGCTAGTGGCTAAAAATATATGCAGTGTCCAGGTTCAGGAATGTAGGCCCTGCCTTCACTCCTGGTCTCCTGCCCAGCACCTGCCTGAGAAGGTGCTCATTGTGCCGGATTGCAACCCGACCTAGAAGAGCATGAGCAGGGTGTTTCCAGGCTGGGCCACTGGTCTAGTTCAGTATCTCGGCTGTGGCACCTTTTCCTGTGTGTGCAGGTCTGGAGGCCCCACCCACTCGGCTATCATGACCAGTGAGCCAAGGGATGTAGAGATGAGCTCCTGCCTCAGTTTCCCTGCTTGCCAAGTGGAGATTATAGCTACCCTGCCCATCTCACTGGGGTGCTGCAGGTCACCCCACCAGAAGATAGTGGTTGTGAATGGTTTCCAGGTTGGCTGGCTCCCACCCCTGAGGCTCACAAAGACTGGGGAGGCAGGTTTCTGTGGTAATGCAAGTTGATGATGAAGACACCTGCTATGTGAGAGTAAAGCAGTTCCCGGTAAGGACAGGTGGCCACAGGGAGACGAGGGTCCTGCCGCAGGTGAGAGCCTGTGAGTCAAATGTCCACCTGAAATCTAATGACCCTTGCTCTCACGGTTATCACTGCTCAGTGGGAGGGACACAGAGCAGGAGCAGAATCAGAGAACGTGGTTAGGTTCATGGGCCACAGGTAAAGTAAAAAGCAATCCGGTGGCTTGAAGTGGAGGAACCTGCCAGGAAGAGGGGACCTTGTCTACCCACTTTGCTTCCCTGGGACAGAATCTGGTACGGAGGAGGAGCTGAGGGCAGACCCATAGGTGATCGCCCTGCCTGGAAAGAGCCCTCCCACCACAGCCGGCCAGGAGAAAGTAAGCTAGTGGGCTCAACCTTGGCTTTGTAACAGGCCGAAGAGGTGGCAGGGAGGCCCAAGGGCTGTGTCCAGGGCACAGTGACACTTACGTGGCTGGACAGGGAGGAGGAGAGATGACAGAGTCAGACCCATACAACTGCAAGCCCTCCTCCAGGCCTCACCTGTTCTCTCCGCAGCCTGCTGGGAACCATTCCTTTCTGCACTGAGCTCCGCAGGGCTGTTTTCAGGTGTAAGCAACAGCGGGCTGAAGCTCCCATATTCTTGGACCTGTGCTCCTTTCCTCTCCTCTCTTCCTGCTCCCTGTCTCCCTCTCCTCTTCCCTGCCATCGTTCCTTTCGTCATCACCCCCTCCTGCCCACCCTTCTCTCCTGCTTGCCCTCCTCTGTGCCCCTTTTCGTTTTTCCCTTCTCAGCCATCCTGACAGCTAAGGCTTCTGATGCCATGAGTGATGCATGGACGAACATGCACTGCAGGAAGCCAGAGATGTAAAAACTGCACACCCAAATAAGCTGCCCTGGCCCTCTTTCCAGGTGCTGCTGGGTGGAGTGTGGGCAGACCTAGACAATGGATCCCTAAATGTTAGACCTGAATGGACCAGCCTTGGTGCTGCCCTCTCAGAAATACAGAGAAGAAATGGTTGGAGAATATTGGGGAGCTCAGGAATAGCTGGGGTGGGTGCAAATTCTGGAACAAAAGGTACAGGTAATGATTGATACATTGTGCCAACTTGAGAAGTTTACAGGTTCAACTAGGCAACTCAGCAGGGGCCAGGGTCTTCACTTTGTAAACATCCTGAGCCTGTGCAAGGGGAGGTGGCCCAGCTGGTGAGGGCAAGAAGCCTGCCTCTGATAGAAAGGAGGAAAAGAGCCTTGTTCTTTCTGCTGGCTGCTCTTGCTGTTTTTGCATCCTTGAACGGTTGCCCCTGTGTTGTGCCACTGTGCCTTGAAACCAGCTGATTACTGACTGAAACCTCCACAAACTGAGAGCTAAATAAACTTTTCCTTCCTTAATTTTGGGTGTTGAGTATTTTGTCCCAGCAAAGAGAAAAAAGTAACCAAGACAGTAAGCAATATAAGGGTGATTCTGAGCCATTTCACAATGCCATTGTTTACAGAACCTGCTGCTAGCCGACCGGGTGCCCAGCCTGGTGGCATAGTATCCTCCTCTAGGTGTGACACTTCGCTTTCAGAGATGGGGAAACCAGGCTTTCAGCCTGGGTGGGGGGACACAGCCTGGGAGTGACAGGGTGGCCCCAATGGAAGTCTGCCTGATGCTGGGCCTTCATTCCCAGCCCTGCACATTTTGCTCTGTGATCTTCTGTCCTCACCCCCGGGGAACAGAAACCAGGTGTTTCTGCACTTGAGGATCTCAAGCTCTGCAGATGCCTAGAGGGAGGCCGGCCTTGAGGCTGTGGCAGGGCAGTGGGGAAGGAGTTATTCTCCGAGGATGTCTCCTCTGCATTTCACTGTCTTGACTGGGTGCAGTGAAGCAGGATGTGCCCTAGGGAGTTGCCATGGCACTCAAGCCTACCCCAGGAGCATCTGTCCAGGCAGGGCACTTCTCTTCGCACGTGCTTGATGGTGTCTTGGCATCTGCTGGGCAGAGCCACTGGCCCAAGAATGAGGTCATGAAAATAACAAGCCGGCCCAGGCCTCCCAAAGCCTGTCCTCGCCCTGCAGTCCTCTGAGCCAGTGGAGGACGTGGTGCTGGTTTGAGGCCAGCGTGCTGGGGACTGGAAAGGTTCTGCCAGCGGCATGGTTGTTTTTACTGTTGTGCAGGTCCAACTGGTCAGCGCCATAAGCTTTCCTTCTGTCTCTGCCTTCACCGCTGGGAGAGCAAAGGCTACATTAAGGCTCCAGGTGTCAGGGACTCCAGGAGTCCCCTCAGCCCACAGCAGAAACTCTGGCTTCGAGGCCCCAACAGGGCTGGCTGGGACGACAGCAGAAGGAGAAAAGGGCCGACAGAGACAGTTTCGCACCCCAGGGCTGCTCCCCGCTGTCTCAGGCGGTCCCAGCCTGAGCGGGCTGGCACCTCACACACAGTCCCAGGGCTCATTCTGTGAGACCGGCAATCGCTGGTGTATTTGTCTTTTCCAAGCACCAACACCTGAAGCCCCATTTGCCTTGAGAGTTCTGCCGGCTCGGTTTCTCCCTCCCTCCCTGCTCCTGTCCTTCTGTCCCTTCCTTCTTTCCTCTCTTCTCTCTCCCCCTTCTTTCTCTTCTTCTTTCTGTATTGGGCTTTGAACCTGAGCCTTCATACTAACCTACATCCCCAGCTCTTTATAAGTTTTTTTTTTTTTTCCCCTCCCCCGGTACCAGGGGTCGAACTCATGACCTTGCACTTAGCGGGAAGGTGCTTGTGCTGCTGAGCTAAATCCCCAGTCTCTTTA